AAAGATGGTGGTTTTAACTTTTTTTAAAACAACACATCTTCTTGGACACACATACTGATAATATATTGTTCCCAAGGTAATTCTACTCAGTAAGAAAAACAAAAAAGATAACCGTCTGGATAAAAGAATAAAATGTCCAACTATTAAAACCCCACTGGAGGGGCCTTTTTGTTGTCATCTTGTCTATCCCCACTGCAGTGGGACGACAGGCCTGCTCTGGTCACTCCGGAAGCTGACTAGTCTACACACGGTGGAAGCTCGAGCATGGAAGTACCCTGCTCTCCTCTACATGCTTGGACTCTCACTATTTGGACTGGCCCTTGCACACTTTCCCCCATGTGCTGAATGTTATGAGAGCCATTGCTGGGACCTCTGCACAGCCATACTTTGTATCACACACCCACCAACAGGTTGGTGTTACATCGGCTCATATACTCCCCAGGTCTGTGCAGTCGCCAGTGAGCAATACTGGAAGTCCCACAGTAAAGAAAACATACAGGCTACGTTTGTCATGGAAAAGGGGGCGACGGGTCTTGCCTTGGGAGCATGTTTGATGTGACCATGCCTGGTTCCCTCGGTATTTTGGTCCATCAGGACCATTACAGAGAAAAACAGCCGCCCATGTAATAACGATGCTATGAAAGTACAAACCCCTAAATCAAGACGATGGTCTTTGACCCTTGGTGGGACCAAGCATCAAAGTGGGGAGTCATGTAGCAGGGAGGAGGGCCAAAACAAAAAACAAGTCTGTGTTCTGATAAAGTAGCAGGGGGAGGGGATGGCATGGCAGAGAGAGATAAAACTTAAAATTCTAAACATGAAGAAGATCACGTAGCACTGGGGGTAAATAGCCAGTAGAGTTACATGCAGCCACATATGGGTGAAACCTTGCCTTTTGCTTCTGTAACCTGCTTGCAAGGATTTATAAGGTGAGACCCTTTGTTCTCGGGGCTCAGCCTTTGGATGTGAATCCACTGAGCCACTGCCAGCACGCTAATAAATATTGCTTCCTGAAAAGCCTTGGGGTCCTGTGTCTCTGTTTGAGACTCCAATAACAAAGGAGCCTCAAGCCTGCAGGTCTGGCAGTGGGGTTCATGTCCTCAGGAAAACTGTTTCTGCCACTTAACTGTGAGGACCATAGCTGGACACCCTGCAGGCCTTTCTTTCTCTTTTGGTAACTAGGAGAGCTGCCTCTGCTGACCTAGGCCAACACCAAGCTCAGCACCCCGCAGGCACCAGGGCCTCATAGTGCTCAGCACATGTGATCCCAGCAATGTCCTGGGTCCGGAGATCCCCTGGCTCCTTGCAGGCCTGGCCATGCTGTGGACAAGCCGAGTGTCCAGGGACTCACAGCCTCTGCCCCACCTGCTGGAGGTCCTGCTGCACAGGGCGTGACCAAGTGTACCAAGTGCTGTGAGCAGTTCCTGGGACACTGCGGTCTCCACACACACAGAAGAGACGTGTGCACAGTGAAGTGAAAGACAAAACTGGCTCTCCACCCACCAGCACCTCACCAGCTCTCAGCCCAGGCTGCACTTGGGAGGCAGATACTTTTCAAATGGGGGATGAAAGGAGAATCACAAATGTCTCCATTATCAGAGAACGAGGGAGACAACAAACCCTGGAGGGAGGCCCGAAAGGGTAGGTGGGTCGGTTTCTAGTCACTGTGACAAAGTACCTGAGAAAACAACTTTAAAAAAGGAAAGATTAATCTTGGTTCAGTTTCAGAGGCTTTGGTAGTCCACAGTCAGCTGACTCCACTACTAGGAGCTTGCAGGGAAGACAGCATTGTGGTGGCAGGGGGACACAGCAGAGCAAAACTGCTCACCCCATGGTGGCCAGGAAGCAGAGCGCACACCCAGACAGAAAAGGGCTAGGACAAGTTACATGCTTCCCGGACATGCCACCAATGACCTACTTCCTCCTACTAGGTAGGCCCCACCTCCTCATGCACACCACCTTCCAACAATGCTACCAAGACATGAATCCAGTCAGTCATGCTGGTGCACATCTGTAATCCCAGCATTTGGGAGACTGAGGGAGGAGGATCCTGAGTTCCAACCAGCCTGGACTACATAGTGAGACCCTGCCTCAAACAAACAAAACACGCATCCATCAATGGATTAATCCACTGGGGAGACTACAGCCCCCATGAGCCAACCACCACTTCTCCATAGCACCACCAGCTAGGGACCAAGTCTTCCACATGAGACTTTTGGGGGATGTTTCATGTCCTAGCTGTAACAAAAGTTGAGGGAAAGAGCCAGGCCTGCTGGTTATGCACCTGTAAGTTATGTACTTGTAGGTTAAATACACTGGCAGGTGAGCTAGCCTCAGAATGTCCCATGCCTGGAACTCTCCCAGACAGCAATGACACATGCCAACCCACTGACTCATAAGGTAGGGTGGGATCTCAGTCTCCACATGGCGTTCGGCACTCACAGATAGACCCCTCAACGTCACGGGCCCTAACCTCACAGCGGCCCCCGTGCAGCCCAGTGCTGAGGAGTGGGGCTGTGGCACCACATGGGGCACATGGCCTGTCCACCAGCGCCCTGGAGTTGTGAGGCAGAAGAGGTGGGCTGCTGACTGGTCACCCTGAGCTGAGATACGGGGTTCACTCAAATGGCAAGAACAGTCACAGGTGAAGCTTGTTTTGAACTCTGTCTTCTGGATTTTTCTTTGTCATATTCTAATATGAGGAAATGTCCAACTCTGCTTCCGTGCTGCTGTTCTACAATTCTGCACCTGCTAAAGGTGAAGATGAGGAACCATAAAGTCAAGAGCAGTCTCAGGTCAAAGGTTGTACTCCTTTTACTCTCGTCCTGATAGTTTTAGGATGCTGCATTTTTTTATTCTTTTGTGCCTAAGTTTTCATTGTGTAAATCATAAAATTACTTGAGGTTTCTAAAACCTTTTACATGGTACACTTCCTAAAAGAAAATAGTTTTCAGAAAAATGACTTCCAGATCACATCTGGGCTTAACATTCTGAGTATGTCTGACAAGAACCAGATCTGTCACTCATCCACCCACCCATCCATCCATCCATCCACCCACCTGCCCACCACCCACCTGTCCATCCATCCACCCGCCCACCCTCCTACCCACCCACCCACCTACACATTCATTCCCCTACCTGCTCCTCCTTCCCAGTGCCTCCCCACCCATGCATCTACCTACCCAAAATATTCTGAATGCACAATCCCTGTAGCTAAGTACCCCACCTTCTACATCCACCACAGTGAGACATTTTGCTCTCATCAAGCTACAGAATCGCAGCCAAGCACCAATCAAAGCCCCAGTCGGCCTGACAGAGGCCTGGCCTACAGACCCTCAGGCTCAGCCTAAATAGAAAAGCTTCATGTCAGTCATCAAAGCCACATTATAAAAATGAGATGTCTGGGCTGGGGTGCAGCTCGGCACTTGTGAGGCCCTGGGCTCCATCCAGCACCCACAAAACAGGAAAAGAAAAAATGAAACGTCTGAGGCTGCAAACCACCATGTAGTCAGGAAAAAGGACCCAACATCAGAAGCATTCCTGAGATGCTATGGAACTTCTGGGTGATGCACACTGTCCTCCCTGCTTGGGGAGAGGCAGGGAAAGTCAAGGCAGCTGGAGAGGCTCACGCCCAGGGTTCCTGTCATTGCCTCAACAGAACTGTCTGGAGCTCATGAGAATAGAGGTACAGGAGCACAGGAACAGAGCAGGAGGGGTGTCATCCCTGCCAAGCCCCTTTCTGCCTAATCATCCACCTGTCCTGTTCTGCATTTCAGTTCATTTTTTACCTCCTAAAAAGCTTAGCCAGGTGTGGTGGTACAATCCAGTTACTGGGTAGGCTGAGTCAGGATCACGAGTTCAGGGTCCAGCCTGGGCTACATTTCGAGGAGACCCTGTCTCAGGAAAAACAAAGAAACCAGAAACCTTAAATCCACACTCTCCTCCTGGTAACTAATTCCAAGGAAGCTGAAAACCTGTTTGGCTTAGAGACACTTAGATTTAAAAAGCACATTCCCCCCAAAGTCTCTGATATATTGCCACCGGCCTTGGGGAGGGGAGGGTTGGATTTTCTGAGCCGGTGCCAAGGTGTAGGGAGAGCAAGACACTCGAGAGCCAGGTGTCAATGAGAGAGCTGGCCAGTGTGGAAGCCCTGGAAGAATGTGCTGGACCACACTAGAAGTCAATGGTTAAACATGAAGCTGAGCCGTGCCTGCCTGGTGGTACATGCCTTTGATCCCAGCACTCAGGAGGTAGAGGCAGGAAGATTGAGAGTACCAGGCCAGCTTGGCTACAGGGAGAGACCAGTCTCAAAATAACAACAGCAAACTGAGGTTTGATGTCAGCTGTGTATATAAACAAAGCAACTGGCCCCATCTGAGCAACATTTTCTATTTTAACACAAGTGTTGAATTTGGTAACTGTATTTTCTTTTTCTCTTTTGTGGTGCTGGGGAGGGAGCTCAGGGCTTTGCACATACCAGGCAAGCACTCCACCACTGAACCATATCCCCAGCCTGGCAGCTACATTTTCATAGCCAAAACTCAGAATGTGTGATGGGCACACACCCGGCCAGAGAGCATTTAAACAGAAATGGGGTCTGAAGATGTACAGTGAGCAGACTCCACGCCCCCTGCCCGCCTTTGCCTAGTTCCCATGACCTACCCTTCTTCCTTCACTTTCACAAGATGTGAACCGTCCCACAGGTGGCTCAGAAGTGCAGGTTTATAGTCCCAGCTACTCAGGGGCTGAGGTGGAGAGATCACGTGAGCCCAGGAATTCAAGACCAACCTGGGCAACACAATGAAAGCCTCTCTCCAAAAAGAAAAAGAAACACACCAGTGCTTGAGGTAGTGCAGAACACTTCAGGTAAGGGATGAGGGGAACAGGAGGAGCCAGGCACAAAGAGACATCGCACGACTTGACTTCCACCAGATTCCACCGGATTCCGGGGCAGTGTGGGGGGCGAGGGGGGGAAGCTCACAGTGGTCACTTGGGTGGGGGCAGGGGCACAGGGAACTTTCTGGGCTGATGAATGTTCTGTATAGTTCTGATCATGGTGTCTACAGGGTTGTACAGTTTGTCAAACTGAAAAACAATTAAAACAAGTGCACTCTTTGGATGTAAATTATACCTCAATAAAACCAACTTAAAAACCAAAAATGTGAGTGGGCAACACTGGGGAAAGCTCACACTGTCACTTCACTCATAGGAGGTGGCAGAATTCTGTCACCTGCCTCAATCTTCCCTCTCTCGAGGTGAATCACGCTCAGTCTGAGAACCTGAGAGTCACTGAGAGAACACCCGGAACACAAGGAAGACATGTTTAATCCTTCAAAAGAACAAGTCCATTTGTAATGATCACTTAGAGAGGAATCCATAAAAAAATACCAGGGCTGGAGGTGTGGCTCAAGTACTTGGGTGCCTGCCTAGCAAGCTTGAGGCCCTGAGTTCAAACCCCAGTACCACCAAAAAATTAACAAATAAATAAGACAAAAATAAAAAATAAACACCAGCAGATCAGCACGGAGTAACTGACGCACAGTAGCCTTGATAAGAAGGCCTGGAACGCGTGCTCCATCTGGCTCCCTCACATGGCTGCTCCTAAGATGTACTTAGCCACCTTTTGCTCAAGTCTCATCTGAGCCCAAAGCCAATGTAGAGGGGATCTAAGGTGATGGGCTTTTTATCAGTAAGAATTCTATTCCAGTTTTTAACAGAGACTTATAAAACAACTGTCCTTCTAAGACATGAAGTTGATTGGTTTTTTACTATAATTATGACAAACTAAGCATAACTGTATTTCAGAATTATTATTTTCTTGTGGTGGCAGGGATCAAACCCAGTGCCTCATGCATGCTACAAGTGTTCTCCTCCTGAGCTACAACCCAGCTCCAGAACTACTTGAGTAGAAAATAATTCACTGCTCCTCTTGAGACGTGATTATGAAAGAACAGAGATATTACACTGGGAAAAACTCGCTCAGATAATAAATGAATTAGCCAAATACATGCACACAGAATCTCACAATGCCACACAGACATGAGTACCGGGTAAGTAAGCACCACGGGCATTAAATGAAGGCAGTGACTTTATTCTGAACAAGGAAGAAGTACTAGCAACCCAGAGCGTGCCCCATCTGAGCGCCCTCCCCACCCCCGTGCCATCTGGGAGAAAGCATCTTCCATCTGTGGCATCTCCAACTGCACCCTCTCATCAGACACTGAAGGACTTGCACCCTGGGGAAAGCCTGCACTTCGTGACAGATGAATGTCCAGGGCTCCCACACCACCAATCGTGATTGAATTAGAGAAAATTAAGGTGACTTCTTCACATTGTCAGATGTTTTCATGTGAAAATCAGTTTTATCTTTCCTTTCATTAAAATATTCTCATCAGATATTCCTGCCAAGGAGACAACCCAGCCTCAAGTGTACAAGATAAAAGCAGAGAGAAACGAGTGACTTTCTGATCAGCTATCCTGATAGAGACCGCACGAGGTGCCTATCATTGCGCTACACTGTCTGGGCCAGAAACCTCACATACTGTTCCCGGACGTCAAAATGGTCAGCCGGCCGGTTGTATGCCGTCCACACTGGTTCTCCCACAAACAACCGCATGGCCTTCACATAGCTCTAGAAAACAGAAAGAGACCAACACTGCATTAAAGCGTCACTTCTACTTATCCACGTGGTAATAACAAGACAACCCTCCCAGCTGCACACTCCTGCCTCAGTCCTTGGCTGCACTGACCCTCAGTGAAGGTGGGGCGGTTGACACTGAAGTGTTGTGCCTGGTAGCAGGAGCATCTGCAGGTGACACTGAATCTGTACCCACTATGGAAACAGTTCACATTCCACCCTCCTGTCTGCCTCCTGAGAACAAGCACAGGGGCCCCCACTGCTGCCTGACAGGAGAGGACAGTCACATCACCCATCAAAACCAGAAATGCAAGAGAATGGGGGAGGGGTGAATTCAACTATGACACTGAATATCATAGCACAACAATAATTGAAAAAAGAAAGAGAGAAGAAAAACTTGAGCTCAGCTCAGCACACATTAAAAAAAAAAACCAAAAAACAGAAATGCTTTTCATCCAACTTTTAGGAATTTGTCCTGAAGATAAAGTCACATAAGTGCAAAATGACACATGTGTTAACACTGCTTGCTGTGAAACAATTTATATACCCATCTTTACAGGACATCTCAATGGAACAAATAAATGGTTAAATCCCACGTGGAATACGATGCAGCTGTAAGTGAGCTGTGAATAAACACACCAGTGTAAATTCATCACCAATGCACATCGAGTGGGAAATGTGAGGTGCACAGCCCTGTGTGTAAAAGGAAGATAAACAGAATTGACTCAAGCCAGGCACGGTGGCACATATCCACAAGAGGGCTGGCCTAGCAAGTGTGAGACTGGGTTCAACCCCCAAAATCCCAAAAAGGAGTGATTCACATTTGCTTGAATATGCATAAAACCACTCTAATTTTTTAAGTACTGAAAACTGAAAGGCTGAGGAGTGGGGGTGAGGTGGAGATTTTTCACTGTCCCTCTTTTCGTAATTCTGAATTTTATGCCATGTCACTTGTTCGTTATTCAGGAATTGTGTTAACCTAAGTCACCACTTGATAACTCAACGACTATCTGTGCTGATGGCCAGTCCTATTGTCACTACGCTTCCAGCATGACAGAGCGCCCACCGTCCAGGTCCCTCACGACCACGACCCCCTCTGACAGGGTGTGGACTAGAAACCCTCAGGAGGGGCAAAACGTTGCTCCTGCAGACCCCTCCGCCCCCATCTGGCAAGGGGTGTGTGAGTGAGTGCGTGCCACCATCCACCAAGAACAATGAAGAGGTTCAAGTCTTTCTGTGCAGGACCTGGGCCTCAGGCTCCGCTGGCTTATTCCCTGGAGCAAAGCTGTGCTGTCCATGCATGCAGGTAATGGACCTCACGGAAGCACAATGACGACGTGGACCGGCCAGCATCAAGCATCATACCTCACCTTTTCATCCAGCGTGAAGCGGTGATAGATGCCGGCAGGGAGCGTGATCAGGTCTCCTTTCTCCATGGAAATCCGGATCCACTTGTCCTCCTTGTCCCTGACATCAAAGTACCCACTGCCCTCCAAAATGTAGCGGATCTCCTCGTCCAGGTGCAAGTGCTCCTCGTAGAACATCTTGATCTGTCGAGGAGGGAAGCAGTGTGAGTTGGCTGAACAGCAACCATGCAGGTCAGCAGAGATGCCCCTCCTCTAAAGGGCCACAAATGGAAATTCTCTCCATAAAAACCGACATAAAATGCTACACTTGCTAGGGATGATGGAGTGGAGTTGGAATGTTTTATGAAACCCATGACAAACTGGCAGCAACAGAAGTAACCCTGACCCAGCACCACCAGCCGGGCAGCAATTCCAATATTTACGCACAGTCACAAGGTAGGCACCTGTCACCCCATCTGCAGACAAAGGAATATTGTACAGAGGTAGTCACGAGCTCACGTCACATAGCAAGACTGCCACACTGACAGCCTGGCTCCGTGCTCACCCTACTTCTACCCCTAGATCAATGCCCACAGTAGCCACCCTGAACCGGAAGGTGAGAAGCACTGTGCCCCGATGGACAACTGTCACCCTCTCCATGAAACCTGCCACTTGTTCAAACCTACCATGTCTTTCCAAACGTCTTTCCCCCTGGCGTTTCATAATAAAAATCTCCAGATGTGCTGAGGTGGAAGCCTGTTTTGCTCCTACCTGTAACCAAGGTGGCACCACTGAAGCTTTACTTACATGGTTAGCATCTCCCCATGCCCCTCTGAAAGTTCTAAAGCTTCCTTCTACATATAAGCCATACACATTTCTGGGAAACCCACATGTGTTTGGAAAACAGCACTTGTGCTAAAGACCAAGCACACGAGCACCTCTCTGAGACAGCATGTTGAACCATCAGACCTCAGCTTTTGAATGTTGGGGTGACCCTGGGGACACAGCGAGGGCCTCAACAATGTCCAGCACAACCTCACGTGGACATCCTCGCCCGCCAGCAGCTCTACTACAGGTGTCCACTTCTAGCAACATGCAAATAAACACATGCAAGTTTACCCAACACCGAATTCTTTGTGATTGGAAAACACCGGAAACAACTGAAATGATCAAGCTGGAAATATCTATGAAATTCCACAGAACAGTTTCTACGATAGAAATGAAAAAAGCAAAGCCCAAAGAACATCAGTGATGCTGCCCGTTCTGTGACAGTGAAGAGAACAAAAAACACACGTGTAAATGTACACAAGCATATAAATGTTTACACTTAACCACACAAAAGGAAAAGAAACTAAGTGAACTGACTTCTGGACACATTTGTCACTCTGTCCTCTGCACACAGGGCAAAGCTCTTCCCACAGGCCTGTTGCTGGCAGTGCAAGGGTGCACCATGCCGAAACTGTATGTATCACGGGATTAGGAAAATGAGTAAAAATTCGGATGTGGTAGGAGCCGGGGCTCTCACTCTAGAGAAAAAAATAACACAAACACAGAATGAGGGCAGGCAGAGAAAACCCTGTGGAGTTTGACTGAAGTTTGAGTTATCTGTTTGAAATGATGATTTGAAGTATGTGTACCTAAATACAAGCACACACACTTTACTCATCTGTTCACTAAAAGGACCTGAGCAGGCACTAAAATCACACAGTACACCTTCTTTTAAACAGTGGTCATGCTCTTAAGTTCTTCTGTTCTTAGTTTGTTTCACTATTTCTGGTCCACCTGCTTATGTTTTCTAAGAAGCTTGGGAAGGAGCTCACTGCATCCTAACAAGAAGAATGAAAAAAAATGAACAAACTGAAAAACCAGCAACTCTTCTTAAATCTGAAAGAGAAATGAAGTAATGAAGTCACAGAACAAACCACTGCCTCTAAAACCAACAACACAGAATTTCACTGATTCTCAGGAAGCAGTGTGGAGGAAGGGAGTCCTGAGTTGTGGGGTCCACCCCCAGCACTGCAGGAAAAGAGAAAAGAAGAGGAACAGGAGGCAACAACAAATCTGCCAGCCCCTTGACCTTAGCCTTTCCAGCTTCCAGACTACGGGAGATAATGTTATTTAAGCCGCCCAGTTGGGTGGTATCTCGTTAATGGGCCTGGGAGGGACTAAGAGAAAGGGAAATATGCAACCTCAGTCCCCACAGCCATCCGTCCCACTTAAGGACCAAGGGGAAGAGACCTAGATGCTCCTGTAAAGCTCACAGCCCATGGGTGCAAGCTCAGCAAAAACTAGACCACCCTAGCTAACGCAAGAAGACAGGAAAAGAAAATAAATGAACTTGGTTTTGTTCATAAGTGACATGATTATCTATGTAGAAAATTTCCAAGAACTGACAAAAAAATAAAAAATAAAAAGTAAACTCCTGGGATTAGTAAATAATCTTGGCAAGAGTATAGCACACAAGGTTAGCATATTAAAGTCAATCACTTTCCTATGCCAGTAATGAACAGGTCAAATTTTAAATCACTAACATAAAACATTAGCACTTTCCCCCTAAAAAGTAATAGTTAAGGGAACTAGCTGTGATAGGCACATCTGTAATCTTACCACTCAGGAGGCTAAGGCAGGAGGACTGTGAGATCTTGGCCAGCCTGGGCTATACACTGAGACCCTATCTCAAAACAAACAAACGAAAGTTAACTATAAGCCTAGCAAAATATGTCCAAGATTTATGTGAGGAAAACTCCAAAACTCGGATGAAAAAAAATCAAAGATCTGAGTCAGTGGAGAGAGATGCCACATTCGTACACAGGAAGACTTGGTACTGTCAGGATGTCAGTTCTTCCCAACTTGATCTATAGATTCAGCACAATCCCAATCAGAATCCCAGCAAGTTATTTTATAGATATGGACAAACTGAGTCTAAAGTACATATGAAGAGGCCAAAGAATAGCCAACATACTGTTGAAGGGAAAGAACAAAGTTGGACCTGACTTAGGACTTTCCATAGTACCTCACTGCTGAAGACTGTGCGGTACAGTAGGAAAGCAGACAAAAGATCAGTGGAGCATAACAGAGAGACCAGGTACAGAAGTGCGAAAATAGAATTAGCTTATCTCTGACAAAGGAGCAAAGGCAGCAAGAGGGGGAAAAGACAGACATTTCAGCAAATGATGCTGGAATAATCGTAAACATGAATGTTAATGGAACAGAATGAGAGCACTAGAAGTTACAAAGCTATGGGTAATCACAGAAGCTGCTTTCTTATTATAAAAGACTTCAGAAGATGATTTCCTATTTAAACAAAAAGAAAAGCAGTGTGGGAGTTTTAAGGTGAAATGTAAGAGAATAGCAGCAGAGGGACTGGGAAGCCCCTTCCTGGGCCTCACAGTCCACAGGGTGAAATGTACCTGAAGGAGGTTGGCAAGTCAAGGACAGGACTTGTTTTTGTCCTGACACAGAAATCGCTTGCAAGAATAAAGCCAAACAGACAAAGTCAGTCACTCACAGGACTGTAGTCCTAGGGTGGCTACCACACTCAATTATTGAATAATAATAAATTCACTCGGTTCTCATGGCTTTTATCCCCTCCAGTCTTAATTACTAATCTAAGTAATTCTCAGCTCACACACTACACGTCACAGATTGATACATACAGGTTACGGAATGGTGAAGAAAGGAGATAAAGAAGCTGCAGGCTGGGTGCTGGTGGCTCACGCCTGTAATCCCAGCTACTCAGGAGGCAGAGATCAGGAGGCTCTCAGTTCAAAGCTAGCCCAGGCAAACAGTTCACAAGACCCTCTCCTGAAAAAACCCTTCACAAAAAAGGGCTGGTGGAGTGGCTCAAGGTATAGGCCCTGAGTTCAAACCCCAGTACCGCAAAAAAAAAGTCTCTGTAAAGAACCAGATAAGAAGTTTGATGAGGAATCAAAGCAGAGCTGTTCAGACACAGAGCATTAAATACAGTTTTGAGTGTCAGTTTGAAGTGGTCTGTGTCTCACAGACAGGAGAACCTGTTCTTGACCTGGAGCCCATAGAGGCAGAGATCCTTTGCCATGGCAATATTCCTGGGCAAGGTTTGTGACAAGTGACCAGGTGATGGATCACTGTGCCTGCCACATCTCAATTTTTTATAGAAAAAGGTGAACCACAGAGACAGTAAAAAGATCAGTAGTTAACAGGGGTTGGGAGCAGAGAGGGATGAACAAGCAGAGAACAGTCTTTTATGCATGGGGGTTACATCTGGTGTGACTGATAAGCTCATGTGACTGGTGTGTCTGATACGACGAGGTAGTTTCACAGGAGTAATTCTTCATTGGCACAGATAAATGATCAGTTTGTACTTCGTGGTGTGCTGGCAGATGGTGGCTATTTACTTGTATAGACAGGATGTAGTCTCATCCTTGGTTGGCACTTGTACTCAAAGTAGAATAACTCAGGACGAAACTGTTCCTTTTGAAAATGGAGGAACTTGGGGCTAGCCAGAGCCTGACAGCTACTGTTCTATACAACACAAAGTGATGCGAGGCAGTCTGAGCTCCTCACTTCCAAAATGAGTTCTAGGAAGAGCAAATCCCTCAGGGGAGGAAAAAAAAAAAAGACAGGGACAGGGATTTAAGAGAACTAGATTAATATTCTAAGAGATCAAATGCAAAAAGTAGGCAACAGGCAGGAATGCATGAGTACTATAAGCAGAAAGACCCTGAAAATTAAAAGGAAATACTAGAAATCAAAAGCACTGTAACAGAGCTGGAGACCACCATGATGCAGAAGGGCCAAATAACTGGAAACTAATTCACATATCTAAAAAAACAAACAAAAGACCAAGACCAAAAAAGCTCTTGTGAGTCAAGGATGAAATCAGAAAAGAAATCTGACCTCAGAGGAAATAAAATTAGTACGTATCAAAATACGTGGAGGAGGGGGGAGGAGGCCGAAATGATGTATACACATGTAAGTAAATGTAAAAACGATAAATAAAATTAAAAATATATATATATATGTGGAGGAAGCCGTCATTAGGAGAACTTACAGCATTGAGCCATGTACTCTGGAAAAGGACTCAAACCAGTGACCTCACTTCCACCTCAAGAAATTAGAAAAAGAAGAGCAAATTAAACACAAAGACACAGAAGAAGGCAAAGATCAGAGCATAAATCAATAAAATAAAAACTAGGACAGGGAGAAAATCCATGAGAACCAAACATTCTTCAAGAAGATCAATGAAATCGACAAGTCTCAGGCCCAATCCAACACAGGAGACACAAGTCACTAAAGCCAAGAACTGGAGCGGGTAGCGCCACATGCCTCCTGGTGTTAAAAGGACAGTGGAGAACACTCAGAATGACTTTATGCCAGCAGACTGGATGGGTGACAGCCCGATGAAATGGACAAATGCCCTGAAAACACAAAGCCCCACAGCTCCTCTAAGAACACAGCCTCTGAACAGCCCTGGCTCTGGGAGAGAGTGGACTCAGGGCTGAGAGCATCCCACAGAGAAACCCCAAGCCCAGATGGCATCTCTGGTTAACGAACATAAGGAAAAATAACACCACCCTACTGATGTCCTTGCAAAAAATGCTGAAAGGGAGGGACTACTTCCCAGGTCACACCACCTCAAAAACCAAATGAAGACATTAAAAGTAAAAAGAAGCTGGGGGCTCACATCTATAATCCCAGCTACTCAGGAGGCAGAGATCAGAAGGACTGTGGTTCAAAGCCAGCCCCAGGCAAACAGTTCGTGAGACCCTATCTCGGGAAAAAAAACATCACAAAAAAAAGGCTGGCCTCGTGGCTCAAGCAGTAAAACCACATGCCAAGCAAACATGAGGCCAAGTTTAAACCCCAGCATCATCCAAAAAAAAAAAAAAGTGTCGTGTTGGTTAGGAGTAAAACATTTTCCCTTGCGATCAGGAGCTCCGCACCTTTTCTTCATAATTTGGAAGTTTGTCTTTGCATATAGTGATGATGTCCATCCACGAGTAGTTTCTCTCTCTCCGGATCTTTTCTAGTGCTGGATCATTCTTGTACTTGTCAGCATCCAGCTAAGTGAGTTTAAACAACAAAAAGGAGCTCATGTTAGCACAGGAGAGATAGAAACACTCTCCCTACACCATCCTACACCCAGAGCACCACCCTTCACCACTGCTAATCCAGCCTTCCTCCCCCTTCCTCTACCTTCCAAAGGTTTTCCACTCTCCAAAATGCCAGCCAGAAATAAGAGCTCTATCTGAGCCCTGCCTCCCCTAGCCAAGTGGTCCTTCTGGGGATCCTTCTTCATATCTCCAGAAGTGCTCGCCCCTCATCCCTGCTAAGAACACAGCTTCCTCAGCACATCTGGCTTCTCTGTCACCTCCCACTTGGCAAGTCTCACTGATGCTCTAGGCTTCCCCTTGGCCAGTGTGTTTCCCTGGGCCAAAACACTAGCAAGAGCCCTCCCAGCACACAAACCAAGCTCAAGTTCATCAGGCAGCTATCACCTGGCCCCACTTGACTTCTCTACTTCTATCTGCCTCCATCCTCTTATTCTTAAAGAAATCTACATTTTAAGCCAAGCATGTTGGCATATGCCTAAAATCCTAGCTATTCAGGAGTCTAAGGTAGGAGGATTGTATATTTGAAGCCAGTCTGGGCTACACAGTGAGACCCCCATCTCAAAGGAAAAAAGATACCTCCCCCACATCTGCACTCCCTCACTCACATCCGGGTCTTATGCCCCAAATGCCTGTTCAGTGTGGAAAGTGGATCATAAGAAGCCTGTGAGGACATTAGCACAGCTGTACCCAATGTCCTGTAGGCTGAGTTTGGTACACCCCTGGCCACAGAATAAGGTGAGAATAAGATGCAGAACAGCTGCTTTTCCTAACATGTTTACATTCAGAGAGGTAGATCAAAGGTTTCTCTTGTTACAATGCCATGCTCCTCCCCAGAACTGCTGCTCCACCCTGATTACCCTGCAAAAGGCTCACTGAGGGTGGACGCAGGTGGAATGCTGATGCTGCTGATGGCTGGTGTGTGTCTCCCAGCTTCCTGCACCGAGGATTCTACAGTGCAAGTCAGAGGTTTTTGGCTGGGAGGTTTTTGGCTTTTGGCTTTTGCCTTTTTGGATGTGGGAGGCTTTTGGAAGGGAGATTGCTGAAGGAGGAAAATGAATTGCTGAAGGGAAAGTGCTGGAAGGAATTGCTAAAGAGGGGTTGATAGAAAGTCTGCACCGAGAACTTTATACATAGGCTTTAGAAAAGCTAAGCTAAAGAAAAGCTAAAGAGAACATGG